GCTGTCCCCGCCTATGCTGTTTGCGCTGCACAAGCTCACCTCCGCCCAACTCCCCCTTTGTTTTGCTCCTGCATTAGCGAGCTGCTTGTGCAGCTCGTGTTGCTTGCGTAGCTCTTTCTCCCGCCCACTCGCTTTGGAACCCTTACAAGCAGGTACATTTGGGAGGCTTGCCCCCTCTTTTCTCTCCACCTGATGAAGATCGAAACGTCGTGGGTTTTTTGCTTAAATTATTTTCCAATTTATTAATATATTTAATTTTATTTTACTATTTTCATTGCGTTTTTTGCTTTTATTATTTTCAATTTATTATTATTTTCTTATGGTTATTATTTTACATTTTTATTTACTTTTTATTTTACTTTAATTTTTAAAAATTTTAGTTTTCTATTTACGTGATTTTACCGAAAGAACCAAGAATATGTTCCAAATTACATCATCCCGCCATTGACTGCTGAAGCTTCTCATATGAAATTATGTCCACCGCTGGACCAATAATAGAGAAATTGATATCCTGATGACATGTATTTCACACACTGGTTTTAAATGTATATAAAGATTGGCCCTATATACAGCAGAGGCGAAGGATTGATCATTTACAGGAATGTCCTTAATTTATGCAGAAAAGCTTCACTGAATATCAAGTTATTTTTTAAGGGGATCATGCAATGTTATTTTTGGCCAATTGCTTTCAAGGAGTATTTTGCATGTGAGGAGGAAACCTGGAGTACCTGGAGAAAACTCAGGTATATGAGAGGGTATCGCTAACTCCGCTCCCTGATAGATTCAAGAATCTATTGCTATACTGACATCTCATATCCACCTCGCAGACCAAGCCTACAACAACTAGGTATTTCCAGGCAGTCCCCTATCCAAGTACTAGCCAGGATTAAACCTCTTTAGCTGCTGAGATCTGACGAGATTGGGTGCATTCCGGGTAATCTGATTGCAAATTGGTCATCAGGGGTTGGATGCACTGGGGTACCCACACTTTATCCCACCACTAGCAGTCCTCGAACAAGTCTAGTGGAACATACATGTATGTATGGTGAACTTTTTTCACACCGTTCGTAGCCAACTGTGATAATTCAGAAGTGCGGGTTTTCCTTCCGTGTACGTCTTTGAGACATCCAGAGACATTAAGACATCTTTATCGCGTGTGGTGCAAATTGAAAGCCAACGAGATGTAGATTTGAAAGAATTAAACATTGGAGGGGGTTGGGTAGCGATGGAGACACGGAATAAAGTGTACCTGGTGCTGCGGGTAATGGCTGTTGTTAAGGCTCTCGTTAAATAAATAAGTTGTAGCGAGCGTGACCGATCACTGGGCAGGTGAGACGCGAGATTGGCTGTAGCGGCCCGTTCGTTACGTCGCTGGGAACCAAATTAAAGTCTTATTGTAATCAGCGGCTGTCTTACCATGATTTTGTTTTAATTTGCCCGGATTAGCATAATTCCCTGTAAATTTTGTCGTGCACACACTAATGCGAGAGCCTTAACAACAGCCCTTCCCCGCAGCAAACTGAGCTAGCGTGCATGGGACTGGCAAATCATTTCCATGCACTGATACCAATTCTGATGTGCGACACGAAAATTCCGAAGCTAATTGCAAAATTAATTCCAACTGCAGAGTGGCGTGTAAGGGTTTTGTGCCATCATTTCAAAGACTAAGTAATAAAGAGAGCCAAAAACATCAAATATGAAAACAACTTTCAAACAGTTTTTTGTAAAACAAATGATTAGAGTGGGAATGTTTGGATTTCCTTTGTCGCTCGCTTGATGATAAATAAGTGACTTCAATTGAATATGAATATCTTCACCCCTACTACCCCCTTCGCTGTAACTCTGCACCATACCTTGAGCTATGCGCACATTTGTACAATTTAGCACTTGGCTTTGCGTCAAGCCGCTGCTGCTTTTGACACTCATGCTCATGCGCGAATTGGGAGTGCTTCAGCAACGCAAGCACAGTTAACTCTCGATTATCTGTGGGCAGCTCATAGGCGTTGTGGATTATAAGTGCTCCATCATGACATGTAATGTGCGCGCTCACTTATTCAGTAAGCTGTCCCTTACTCGTCAACGGACAGTGACTCGCGACCGCAAACACGTCGCCACAAAACGATACAAATGCAGACAACACATTTTTCCATCTTTACTCCATTTATTGTTTTATCCAGAACGACCTCTGTCCCCCCCCCCCACCCTCGTTATTGTGGATGATTGACAGCTAACTGTGGGTGCAGAATGACATCCGCACCAACATGCTGCTGTGTAAAAGCAGCACTGCATCGCTACCGGCTGGGGACGGCAAAGCCATTACGCAGCGTGCTCCATCTCGTCAGGCAGGGCAGTGCCGCTAATTCAAAATAAATTAGCTGGAGTATAATCACGTTATTCTCTCATGTAATGGAAATGTATACCTTCTCTTATTCAGCCAAGTATGTGGATGAACTCATCATAAGTGGTGCTGTTGGAAAGGGTGGAAACACAGCTTCTTTAAGCCCTGAATGCAAATTCCTGCAGGCGTAGCAGAAAACAATGCAGCTTAAAACAGAAGCCTAATTATTTATTTATTACTTTCTTGATTTGAAGCTTTCGTGACTGCAGGAATCCATACTCTTTGGTTCTTTCGGTAAAGTCACGTAGGTAGAAAAATAAAATAAATCACGACGTTTCGATCACAACGAAAGCAATCGTCATCAGGCGGAAGAAAGAGGAGGGAAGTTGCTGATGCTGCAGGCTGCTTTTGAAGGTTAGAGATGGGCGTAGCCCCAGAGTCATAAACGAAGTGGGGGGGGGGGGGGGGGGCTAGTGATGTTAAAGTGAGAAATTTGCATGCAAATGTACTGTGTAGATGTGATTAGCATGTCAATGTTAGCTCGCAGCGCGCCTTCACATCGAGGACTGCATGTAAATGTAAGATCAGAGAAATTTGCATGCAAATGTACTGTGTAGATGTGATTAGCATGTCAATGTAAGCTCGTAACGCGCCTTCACATCGAGGATAGCATGTAAATGTAAGATCGGCTTGCAGCGCGCCGTCACATCGAGACTGCATGTAAATGTAAGATTGGGAAAATCTCGGAAAGAACCACAGCTAAATCGGAGCAAGCAAACGACTGTGGCTGTGTTAGTGAATGTAACTCAGAGAGTCACAAATAACTGCTTACATAGCCAGATAGGAAAGGAACATCACCACCAGTTATGACCTAAACTGGTTAATAACGTCCTTCCAATGATTGCTTAGTTTGTACCCATCTTCTTGGTTTAAATTGTGTCTGTGTTTATACATCTGGATGGCTTTATGAACGAATCTTTGATGGTAGCCCGAAGGTTTGCAGAGTACCTTGGTCTCGGAAAAAACAATATTGTGTGAGCCCACCCCATTCAAGCAGTGATCAGCCATGGCAGAGGTATTGGTTCTTACGTGTTTCAAATCTGCCTTGTGTTCGCAAACACTGTCCGAGACATGTCGTTTCGTTTCCCCAATGTAACTGCTACCGCAGACACAACTTAGTGTGTAGACACCAGGGTATTACATGTCAGGAATCACATCTTTCACAGATGCGATCAGGTGACGGATTTTGTGTACTGTGTTGAATCGAACCTGAATCTTACGTTTGTTCAAGATTTTGGAAATATTTTTGGTAACCCCTGCTATGTATGGCAAGGTGATCGTTTTGATTGGGTCCTCAGATGGTTCTCTACCCATGGTTGGGGATACAGCTTTGCAGATTGTGCAGTCCGAATATCCATTCATCTTGAGGGCTTGGCGTACGTGCTCCAGTTCACTGGATAGGTGGTGCTGGTCGGAGATGCAATGGGCCCTATGGTGTAGTGTTTTGATGAGGGAATTCTTCTGTGCCGGATGGTGGTGGGAGTCAGGCATTAGATAGGAATCTGTGTGCGTGGCTTTCCTGTAGACAGAGTGTCCCAACGAGCCATCAGGTCTCTTCTCGATAAAACATCCAGGAATGGTAGCTTGCCATCATTTTCCACTTCCATGGTGAATTTGATACATGGGTGTATGGAATTGATGTGGTTTTAAAATTGGTTCAGTGCTGACAGGCCATGTGGCCAGATAACGAACATGTCATCTACGCATCTCTTCCACAAGGAGGGACGTAGAGTTGATGTCTGGATGGCATCTGTCTCAAATTTTTCCATGAAAAGTTTCGCTACCATTGGCGATAAAGGAGAATCCATTGGGGGTACCCTAATTTTATTTGTGATGAATTTAAATTGTTTATTTTATTTCTACATACGTGACTTTACCAAAATAACCAATGAGTATAGTCATTTCTGCAGTCACGAAAGCTTCAATTCTAGATTTACCCTAATTTTGTTAGTAGAATGTACCATTCCAGGTGAATTAAGTGTTGGTTAGGCAGTGCCTCACCAATGTTGGTATATCAGGATTCAGTCCCTGTTGGTCCAAGTCTTCAATGATTGCAATGGTGTCAGGTACAGGTACCTTGGTGAATAGGGAGACTACATCGAAACTGACAAGCAAATCATCTAGAGATATTGAGATATCCTTGATTCGAGAAAGCAAGTGAGCTGAGTTAAGTCCAGCTGAGGTGGTCTTGCCCGTGAAAGGAAGCAGGGTCTCAGACAGAAATCGGGCCAGTTTGTAGGTGGGTGAGTTAATGGTGGAGACGATAGGACGGAGTGGAGTACCTTCTTTATGGATTTTTGGAAGGCCATAAAATCTGGGTGGTCTAGCAGCCGAAGGTTTTAGAGAGAGCTGCTTGGTCAGTTCGATTAGAAAAGTCGAATTTGTGATGATATTGTTGGTTTTCGTGGCTAGGCGGTTGGTAGGATCTCCATTGATTTTGGTATCGCTGCCATCATTAAGAAGGTCCTAAATTTTGTTATTGTAAGTGGTTTTATCCATGATGACAGTGGCATTGCCTTTGTTTATTACCTGCGTGTTTCTTCTAACTCAATCACCCCCTCATCCTTGTTTTGGCCTCCATCCCATGTGTCCCTCTACACAGGAGTTTCCAACGTCTGACCAACAGAACGGGCATGCTCTCCCATCGGGCGAACCTCAGCCCCCGCCGCCAACCCAACCAAAGGTGCAGAGGCCCTACAACTCCCTACCCAGGTAACCAAGGCCAAAGAGATGGGGAGTAGGGTGGGGGGGAGTGGAATCTAGGGCAGTTTGTCTTCGTCCTGAGATCCAAAAGGGGGCTGAGGGAGCCTCAGAGAGGGCCTCACTAAATAATTGGCTCACACATTCACAAGCTCATTCAATAACTCATTATTTTACTCACTCGCACACTAAGTCTGTCACTCGCTCATTAACTCACTCGCACTCTCATTCACCAGCTCGTTTACCCACCTATTCGACTGCTCACGCTCTCCCTTGTTCGTTTGCTCGCCTAAGAGCCCCAACCTCTCGCCCATCATCACACTTAACATCACACCCGGCATCACACCTCACCTCGACTCACTGTCTCTCTGCCAGGGGAAACATTGGGAAACGCGAGCGCAAAACAGCATCATAAGCAACAACATGCTTTATTAATCAGCACTCTTATCAGGATGGCTTTGGTGCTCTCATGCATGAACAAATAACCACACAGACATCACACATGATCCTCTGATACAGTCGGAATAATAAATAATATTACTATACTTCACCTTGCCAGTGATTGTAGCTTGGTGAAAGTGGGGGGGGGGGGGGGGGGGGGGGGGGGGTTGTACCTTGGACCAGTTCATATGAATTCACTGCTGATGATAGTGGTGGCTTGAGGTTGAACTTGGGATACCAAGTTCATGTCACATTGCGCTAACCCCTATGCCACCGCTCCCCCCCCCCCAGTCCAATAATATAACAGAATAATGTGTTGTTTTCACCCATTAACGTTTCAGAAAGGCCAATCTTCCGATTGTTGGTGTTAGGAGAACAGATTGAATGGAAAATCCACACACAAGGGAAAATCTTTGAACTCTGCAGAGAAGAGCTCTGCAACCTACTTGCTGCACTGCTTCCTACAGGCAGATATTTTTCATACATGCCTCTTAGATGGATCTTCCTTCCATGACTCCCATGTTTCTGGATGACAAGGGCCTCCCCGCGCCAAAGAGTTTGTAGAGGTTATTTAACCATTATTCACCTTTAAGTGAGTGCGTCCCTCATTCACAAGTGAGCACTGGCGAGAGAGAAATTATTCATCTCCATTGGCAGTCCTGAACTAGTGGTGGGAATCCCACATTCGTGTGATGGATTTTGCTGTTTACTGCCCACAGTGTGAAAGGTCGTTGGCTTTTAGTCGACACGAAACCTGGATTGGTGCTTGCAACTTCCCGGTCAGGTGTTTTAGCCACACCTGGCCCCCAAACATTGACCGAAATGTGATGGTTGTGTATTTGTATTAATGTGGTAACAAATAGCTTGAGGCACTGTGACGTCAAACCGAAGCACCTTGACAAAATCATTACCAAAAGAGTGACGGGGTCTGCACAGTCATAGGGGGCTTGGGAGGTGGAGATGGGATGAAAGCGTTTCTGTGTTTCAGGAGAGGTCAGACTCTCCCAGCGCATTCCGTGTAAACAGTCAATGGAGCACTTTACACAACCTGCGCACCCACCCACCCACCCCCAGCTGAGGAAATTCTCATCCTGGAAGACAGCTCTTTCCCAACGACGTTTCTTTCGTGTCTCCACTGTCCGTCACCTCCAATGCAGTTTAACATTGCCATGTTTACTCATCGCTTTTAACTACGAAAAAAATGCTTTGGAAATTGTCTTGAGATATCGTCGCATTTACACTCTTTATAAACACATTATGTTGTCTCTCCAATCCATGCAGTCTCGCTCACAGTTTTACTTTTCATTATATTATCCAGCATTAACGTTAATGCCCTTGCAATATGATGTTCGTGGTCATCATCATCAGCCGTCGTCGAGCCACTGCTGAATGAAGGTTTACCCACGCTGTTGCCATCCTTCATGGTCCTGAGATGCCACAATCCATCTCACTTCTGCACATGAACGGCTCTCGTCACACCATCTCTGCTGTGGTCATCCTCTCAGGAGCTTACTCTCTCCGTAGGCTACCAATCTGTCTCGGGCTCATGCATCGGCCATTACCCCTTGTAGCCATGATCTGCCCTGCCCAATCTCACTTTCTTTAACAGTCAACATTGTGTCTCAGATTTGCATTTGTTCTCTAATCCACGTGTCTCTCTCAGTGTAATGCCAAGAAACATATCCTTTAGTCTCAACGATGTGGCTTTTAATGTAATGCTTTAGTTCACGTGATTTTAGCTTAGCTTCCATGCGTTTCTTCGCATGTACTGTGCAGTGTCAAATTAGGCAGCGGTAGGCAATGATGGCTGTCCTGTTCTGATCCCTAACAAGGATTGTTCTCTGGTCTAACACTGGTGAGACGAGGTCCAAAAGAAGGCTGTCTCTGATGTAGGCCAATCAGTTTCAAAGATGATGTTTATATGAGCAGACCATGTTTGTTTGCATGTTCACCACAAGTCCGTGTGGGTAATGTAAATTTGATTCCTTGCAAAAGGTTTATATTTTATGTTTGAACATCTTAACACCTCCTGTTTTATTGCCAGAAAGGGTAAAATCTCTTCTTATTTTTTCATAACAAGGATGATACTGTTATACAGGTCGCATTGCTGCTCTTAATACAAGACTGCATGCATTGTATGTGCAGCGTAGTGATCTCTCATGGAAGGCATTAATGGTCACAAATCACACTTTCTGCAGCATAGAAATCGCATCTGGCGTGCATAATTTGTCACTTTTCAGTTTGAGTTGTTGCTCGTCATTTACAGAAAGTGTTCGATGTGGTTTAGTGTTGAAATTTACATACGAATGTGAAGCTGTGAGCAGTTTCACTGTTAGGGGGGTGCTCACTCACTCGCCCGATCCCTCACGATGGCGTGCATCGTCCGATTGCCATGTGGTTCAGGCATCCCAAGAAGACGTCGCAGCCCGCGAGTTGGCTGGTGCAAGCGCCAAGTGGGAACCTCGCAGCTGCGGGTGCCAGCTCGGGTGGCAGCAGCAGCGGCGGTAGCGGCAGTAGCGGTTGCAGCGCGACGGGCCCGCGGGCCCCGAGTGTCACGCAGCACAACCGCAGCTCTTCCGCTAGGCCCCGACCCGCCAGCACGCAGCCGCGGACGCTGCCCTATGGGTACAATGCACGCGTGCTGCAGGAAGCGCAGGAGCTCCTGCGACAGGAAGAGCAGCGGAGGCTCAGCGGTCAAAAGCAGCAGCAGCTGCAAGGAAATGGGGCATGCGAGGTGCACAGCAACAACAACCTGGCCACCACGACCGCTGCACCGGCATCGCAGAGCGAAGACCTGGACCAACGAGGCCACATGGCGGAGCAGCAGCAGCAGCAGCGCACGTCGGGAGGGGCCTTGGGGGCGGCCAGGTTGGGCCACAATGGCTACCGCAGCACCGTGCGGAAGGAAGAATCTTCCTCTGCAGCATCGTCTCCCGCTGCCAAGGACGTCGGTCTTCTGTCGCCACCGGCTGCCATTTGAGCTGGCCGTACGCCTTGGCAGAATGATGATGATAATGGATAAAGTCTTCAACACCCTGTTTCAGTCGCGGCGGTTGTGTGATCATACTTAATCATACAATGTGGGTTGGTGAAGGAGGGAAGCCCAGGACTGCCTCAGACATCACTTGCCATTGTTGTTAACCATTGTTTCAAACTCAACTGGCTGGGTTCATAGCGCAGTGCGCTAAACACCGCACCGACGCTCCACCCCTTCGCATAGCCTGAGTTAATGGCGTGAGTGGTGTGGGCCACATTATATTAACTTTCTCTCATAGGGTGATGTGTGACTGTATGGATGGAGGTATCGGTTGTCAGAAGGTGCTTCCAGCATTGGAATGAGTAGTTTAAAGTTGGATCTGTGAAGCCATTCCCTTGACCACAATTGGAAGCTGATGCATCTAAGCTAGACTGCGCTGATGGGATGATGACTCAAGCAAGCTACTGGGCAAAGTGAAATGCTGTCGGCTTAAGCCTCCGAAAATTTCCAAAGATAGACACACTCCTGGATGAAAGACTTGTTATTTAACATGCTGTTGACTTTAAGTGGTCATTCCAGCAGATGTAAAGAAAGAGGCTTTGTGTTGGTATAAAATAAACTACTTAAAAAAAGACAATAAAAATGTACAATTATTTTAAATACTGGAAGAGCTGGAGCTGAGCCTTGGCCACACGCACCATGACTTCAACCCAAGTGTCAGATATCGGAGAACGCACACTGAGATGTGCTCCCTTACGTGCCTTGCCTACCGGCAATTTAGTTATATATATTTTTAACGAACTTGCATTGTATACGTACGTGTGGCGTTTATATGTGCGCATACACTTATTTACTTCACATATACCTGTATACTTTTAATTACGCGCATTCACATGGACGCACGTGGTTTATGTTTTCCACAAATTCGGTGAAAACCGCAGGGCCGAGCGACCAGCAGCTGTGGGGAAGGGCTTCAGTTAATGAGAGAACGTGACGATGGATTTGCTGATAGCGCATTTCATTTGCCTCGGTGCTTGGCATGGCTGCTTCAGGCGTGTCACTTGCTGCTGCCGCATACTTCAGCACCCAGTGTAGTGGTTGACCCACACATTTTCCCGCACGCCTCGATTATCGCGGTTGCTTTCGCCCAAAGCATGCCAGCGCGTTTGTGATAACTTCATACGCTGGCATAATTTACACTGTGCAATTTTCATCTTTTATTTTCTCATGGGCGTGTTTTACAGTTTTTTTTATCAACAATCATGTGGTTTGCCTTATTAAAGACATTTTTTTGTACTATTCTTTTAATCACATCATCCGCGTGCACCGTGTTTTGTATTCTTCACGTTCGTAGCTACGTCCCTTTTCGTTTTTTTTTTTTACAGCTCCGTACCCTCCAGCCAAGGACACGACATCATCCAAAGCTGAAAGTGGCGACGTGACTGTCAGAACAATAAGTTTAATTCTCCAGTAGGCGTCAACATGCACGCCACACACCCCACCACCGTCCCCTCCTCCGCCACTCTCCTCTCTCTCTCTCTGGCCCCAACTGAATTCCCTTTCGCTCACCTATTATCTGGAAACATCAGCTCAAGATAGCGATTTTTTTTTTACTTCAGCCCTCATGATCCGTCCGCGGGCTGGCTGTCCGTCGTTTCGGCGATTCTCTTCCATTCACGCTAAGGTTTTGCGCGATTCGCGAAGCGGCGTAACACACGAGTGTGGGCAGATTATACGCACTCCAATTTAACACCACCGGATAATTATAATCAGAATCTTCACCTATTACGCCGAGTGCTTAGAAAGCTCTTTGCGAGGCACACAGGCACCGTAACGGGACGTCATCAGCGACTGTAATGTTCTCGTTGCACATGCTCGTTGTCAAGTGTCAAAAAGAGAGAAATCAGTTAATTTATCTTGAGAGTGGCAAATCACCTATGTTAAAACATAAGTGATTAAGTAAAGTCCTGATTGGCCACATTATTTCTAGGAGGTAGGTAATGGGTAGATCGGTACAAGGCCTGTTCATATTCACCTTCCCCCACCGATTGATTTGACCAATTGCCATGATTTAGGGAGTAATTCAAGAATGTATTATTTTCATCTCATTTTAAAAGTCTCACTTCAACATCTTATTATTTTGATTTAAAGCTTCTGTGACTGCAGGGATTCATATTCTTGGTTCTTTCGGTAAAGTCACGTAGAAGGGAAACAATAAAATATTAAAAATATAAAGCAATAAAATTCTCACAACGTTTCGATTGCAACACAAGCAATCATCATCAGGTGTGAAAACCACAGCAAGAAAATTTGAAAAGAGTGGCAGTTTTTTAACGTTAGCACCACGGAGAGCGATTTGGCAGTTATTCAGATGGACGAGTCCATCTATGTTCTGGCTACCATGAGAGATTCGTTCATGAGGCTATCCACATATACAAACACAGAGACAATTTCAACCGACAAGATGGATTCTGGCTTAGCAATCATTGGAAGGATTTGATAAACCATTTCGGGTCTTAATTGATTGTTCACGCTTACGGTGGCTTTCAGACCGCAGCCATTATTTTCGTCTCCCCCCTCCTCTTTTCCGAACATAAATGGACTCGTCCATCTTAATACCTGCCAAATTGCTCTACGTGGTGCTAATGTTAAAAAAAACCCGCCACTTTTTTTCAATTTTTCTTGCTGTGGTTTTCACACCTGATGATGATTGCTTGTGTTGCAGTCGAAACGTCGTGAGACTTTTATTGTTTTATATTTTTATTATTTTATTGTTTCCCTTCCACGTGACTTTACCGAAAGAACCAAGAATATATATCGTATTATTTGTTAAGTCTGATTCATACGATTATCTTAAATATTACAATTTAATGTATTTGCAGATATCTTCTATTAATTTGTATGCTTATGATTCTATGCATGTATTGAAACAATAAGAATATATATTTGTACTGATTCTATGAATAGTCACCTGCCTAATAGGCATAAGAGGTGTATTCTTACGTTCAAAATACGTGCATTGAATTGTGAAGTACTACGTTTTCGATTTTTACGTCGTATTTCATGGGTTTACATCTGGCATGCAACCACTAGAGGCTGCTACATTCTCCAGCATGTAAAAACAATTATGTTCTTGAATTGATGGCGACCCTGGGGCATGACAGTTCATACAATCTCAGAGGAGGTGAATCGTCGTTCACCCTTTGGTAGTTAGGTAACTAAACTTGAATGCAGGTGAGAGCACGTACGGGTATCATGTTTCTCTTGCAGGGAAAAACGTGTTTCTATGAGCACGCTTTGCAGAAACATGAGCCACTGAGAGCCAGGCCAGGTACGGTTCTTAGCGTTAATCGTGGATTCGGTGAAGGAATTCCCTTATTGAGATGCCTGTAAGTTGAATGAAAGTGTGAAGGTCAGGGATTTCACATTTGGAGACGCGGCCTTCACAACCAACCCCAAAATTCATGATTGAGTTACTTGTATTAACAATTCTCCCAGCGGTGCAGTCCGTGATACTGCAATTGTAAAAATTCCGGACGATTAATCCCAAGACCTCGTGGTGCCGAGTGGATGCAAGCACAAGGAACATTTATGAAAGCTTTTATTCGCGATAAAAGCAACGAAAAGTGATGACAATGTTCTGTGTTTCAGACACGTCTTGAAAAATGTCAGACAGCTGTAATGCGTTGCGACTAAAGTGATCGTGGTGGGACATCGCGTCCGTGGTTTTATTAGTTTGCATATAAAATGCTTATTGCTTTGTCAACATGAATTACCTGTAAAAATCGTGTTATCAGCAACATCACGGTGCAAAATGTGCCGAATAGGTCACCTGCTATTTAATTTAATTCCTCCTATTTTTGTTCAGCTTTGTATTTTTTACAATGCATAATCTTATTCTTAGTTTTTTCGGTAAAGTCACGTTGAAGATAAACAACAAAATAACAAAATATATATAAAACAATAAAAAATTCTCACGACGTTTCGACCATAACTCAAACGGTCATCATCAGGTGTGTCGGTTTGCATAAATTTATTTTGAAAACGGCATATTTATTTATATATATAAAAATAACGTTTGCGTCACGCGCAACGATGGCAGTTTGCCAGGACTAGTCCATCTATTTTTTGAAAAGAGGAGGGGGGAGACGAAATTTGTTTTTTTATGTATGCTGTCTGAAAGGCACTGTAAGCGTGAACAATCAATCAAGAACTGAAATGATTTATCAAATCTTTCCAATGATTGCTAAGATAGAATCCATCTTCTCGGTTGAAATTGTCTCTGTGTTTGTATATGTGGATAGCCTCATGAACGAATCTCTCATGGAAGCCAGATGGCTTACAAAGAACCTCCGTCTTGGAAAAGTCAATGGCATGTGAGCCTACTGAATTAGAACAATGATCTGCTACGGCCGAGGTGTTGGTCCTACCGTGTTTAAGGTCTGCTTTATGTTCACGAATGCGGTCCGAGATATGGCGTTTGGTTTCTCCAATGTAACTACTACCACAGAGGCAACTTAGTTTGTAGACACCAGGGTATTGTATGTCCGGAATCACATCTTTTACAGACGTACAATACCCTGGTGTCTACAAACTAAGTTGCCTCTGTGGTAGTAGTTACATTGGAGAAACCAAACGCCATATCTCGGACCGCATTCGTGAACATAAAGCAGACCTTAAACACGGTAGGACCAACACCTCGGCCGTAGCAGATCATTGTTCTAATTCAGTAGGCTCACATGCCATTGACTTTTTCAAGACGGAGGTTCTTTGTAAGCCATCTGGCTTCCATGAGAGATTCGTTCATGAGGCTATCCACATATACAAACACAGAGACAATTTCAACCGAGAAGATGGATTCTATCTTAGCAATCATTGGAAAGATTTGATAAATCATTTCAGTTCTTGATTGATTGTTCACGCTTACAGTGCCTTTCAGACAGCATACATAAAAAAACAAATTTCGTCTCCCCCCTCCTCTTTTCAAAAAATAGATGGACTAGTCCTGGCAAACTGCCATCGTTGCGCGTGACGCAAACGTTATTTTTATATATATATAAATAAATATGCCGTTTTCAAAATAAATTTATGCAAACCGACACACCTGATGATGACCGTTTGAGTTATGGTCGAAACGTCGTGAGAATTTTTTTTATTGTTTTATATATATTTTGTTATTTTGTTGTTTATCTTCAACGTGACTTTACCGAAAAAACTAAGAATATGAATTACTGCAGTCACGAAAGCTTTAAATCAAAATTTAATGCATAATCTGTTAACAATAAGAAACAAATGTAAACATGTTCTTCGTGTGAAAAAGTCTAAAATGTTGGCATCCCTAATGTCCATAATGCCTACTCGACACAACGATTAATTGAGATTGTTATTCTCATTTGCTGTCAGAATCACTGACTGCGCCGCATAATGATCGCGATCCTCGCTAGTTTATTAAAAACGGGGCGTGCCAATGAACATAATACGCGACTGCAAGCCCATCTGCCACGAAGTGATGTGGTAAAGGGAGTCTTAATGGTCGAGTGTTGGAGGACAGGTGAGTGTGACTTTATCTTAACCCTACGCAAAGACGGCCGTGTGATCGCTGTACGAGGGAGGAGTGCTCTGCTCCAGGTTTCTAACATTCCCACAATGATTGAGGTCAAAATGTGCAATTGTAGACTGCTAATTTTTTATTTATTCAACAACTGGAATAGCTCTGTGATGTGTTTTCAGGTTACACCTCGTGGTGTTCGACACCGTGTCAGTTGGAGTACAACCGTGAAAACCCATGCAGCACTGGAATAGCTAACGATAGAGTTGTTTGATGCATATATTACAGACACAATAGATATGTCCAGAATATGGATACTTAAGTTCTTGTGGATAACTTACAAACCTGGGAAAGACAGCTTCTACGCTTCTCTCATGCTTGTGTAACAGATCATAAAGCGGTGTCCATACCACTGTATTAGGTAGGATGGATTTTCAAGAATAAAAAAAAATATTTAATTCATGGCAGGGATATTGCCGGGATTTGATTATGGTTGTGGTCCCGAATCAATTTGGGAAATGTCAATTTTAGCAAACCTGGATTGTTTTATTCAAAGTGAAGTAGTGACTGGTGGGTCGACTGCCAGGGTGGAAGAAAAAAATTGTTCTGTCAGGAGCCAGGAAAACAACAATGTTTGGATTGTACGTTGTGCATACTTGTTTAGCAGGGGCCCCAGTTGTAACGAGCTCCAGTATTTCCCTGGGTCTGTGGATCTGGGTGGGCGCACACCAACAACACAGCCACGGAGGAGGAACCTGTGCCT